ATATATATATATATATATAAAATTTTTTACTATGTTTTTCACATGTGAAACATAGTAAAAATTTTCGGTCCGCGCGAAATTCTGACAAGCTGATTGATAAATTTTAAGCCTTTCCCATTCAAATACTATAGTAGCCTCGACATTTTGGTATTAAGATTTTCGTCTCCAAATGACCTCAGGAATGTGCTATTAACGGGTGATACGGTAAGTCTGGGACACCCTGTATATATATATACATACATGAATAACACCAATTGGTGTTTTTTTCCAAATTTACACATACTGGACATGACCCTTTACACATACGCACGCACGCATATGCACACACACCAGTGCATATATTATATATAAAAGTGCTTAGGTCTTAATATGACTCGCTTTTAATGTTAAAATTTAATTTGGTTGTCGTGAGGAAAGAAAACGAACTTTAATCTTTAAACAAATAACAATGATAAAGAATATAAGATAAGAATCAGAAGCACGGTTGTCGTCGAAGCGCAACAATCAAAAAATTATTTAAAACATTCATATTCTTCATTTAATATATAAATATTGAAAGTAAAATAAAGAAGGCTCTTACGATTTAATAATCACAGATATGAAAAAGGAGCTTAGAGAGCCAACGCTAAGTCTTGGTGCGATTAAATCAAAATCTGTATTAAATTATAAAAACAGAAATATACATATCCAAACATTTTGGCCTAACATGAAGCCATCTTCAGTGTCAACAAAAATAAGTTTGAACATGAAAGTACGCTAGTCGTTACAATAAAACTGATGTTAAAACGATGTAAAATATGGAAATTAGAACTAAACGTAATAGTAAGCTTGTATCAATGTCATGTAGAACCGTAACAATGATAACATTAACGTTCGAACTAGCGATTTTGTAACATGTATTATCCTTTTCCATTCTTGAGCGTGAAAAACAGCGATATGGAACAGTTATTTTTAAATTCTCATCATGTTTTTTATCTCTCAACTATTACCACAACTGTTTTATACTTTGCTCTTTGACTTAATTTAATTTTCGTTAACTCTGTTACGGTTCTACATGACGTTAATACAACCCTACTATCGCGTTTAGTTCTAATTTCCATTTTATATCGTTTTAACATCAGTTTTATTGTAACGATCAGCGTACTTTCATATTCGAACTTATTTTTGTTGACACTGAAGATGGCTTGATGTTAGGCCGAAATATTTGAATATGTATATTTGTGTTTTTATAATTTAATACAGATTTTGATTTAATCGCACTAAGACATAGCGTTGGCTCTCTAAGCTCCTTTTTTCATATTTGTGATTCTATAAATATTCATTTCTTGATTTTGTTAGTTGTTTTCACGAAATCTGTATAACAAGTAATAAACTTTGGAGTTTATTACTTTTCATATATAAAATACTCAAAGAAAAGTACGTTTATTTGCGCGCGCGCGCGTGTGTGTGTGTGTTTTACACGATTTCACGATATTTATTTCTCTCATGTCAATTGAATGATATTTCTTCAGAGCAATTAGTTATTATTAAGTTATTATTAAATTATCATTAAGGTAAGAAAAATTTTGAAAATTTTAAAATAGTTTTCACGCTTGAGAAAACTGACTGTATATTGTCATTCTTAGATTGCATAAATTTTAATAGTTACATTCAGTTATTATCATTTATTTGAGAATTTTTTTTCTTTAAACAGGTGCAAATATTTTATTTCTTCATACGAAAATTATCACCTTTTAAAACCTAATTATTTTGAAAATAATTATTCAACAACACCTTTGTACTTTTTTCAAATATTTCGTCTATTTGATGAAAATATAATCGAGAGAGAAATGAAAATTTTGGAGAAATATTCTTCTATACTTTAGTGTTTCTCTATAAATTACTTTTTACAGAATTTATAATAAGAATAATTTTTTTTAAATTCACCTCTGACACACAAATCGTGAAAGTATAAAAAGTATAATCCCATTATTCACTCTTTGTAATGTGTAAGTACGTCTTGAAATTACTTTCAAAGTTAATTCATCATAGCTTCATGTTTCGTTGTAATATTAGTTGCGAACAATTTTTAAATCGGTCAGTAAATCTGAATAAAATTTTGCATGGATATTTATTAGACTTTTGTTAGTGTACGCGAGAAATTTGATCCGGCTGACAATATTTCTTTCTTAACAATCGTGAATTTGATTGCAGCTTTATCGAACAGAATTGCGTGTCGGGCTTTTGGACATGGATGTTCGTGTTATCAAAGCTACCCGAGCTCGGCGACACCATCTTCATCGTATTGCGTAAACAACCGCTCATCTTTCTACACTGGTATCACCACATCACCGTTTTATTGTACTCCTGGTTTTCGTACTCGGAGTACACCGCATCCGCACGATGGTACGTTGTGATGAACTACTGTGTGCATTCGATTATGTACACTTACTACGCGCTCAAAGCAATGCGGTACCGACCACCGAAAGCGATTTCCATGGTGATCACCGCCCTGCAGCTCGCTCAAATGGTGATCGGCTGCGCCATCAACATATCCGCCTACCAGTACCTGGAAAGTGGCAAAGTGGACTGTCACATCACTCGCATGAACATCCGCTTCAGCTTCGCGATGTACTTCAGCTATTTCGTTCTGTTCGCGCAATTCTTCCACAAGACGTACCTGGCCGGGAAGAAAGCCGACAAGAAGCATTTCACTAACAGCGCACCCGGTCACATCGGCTATAACGATAAACTCAAGGCCAACTAAGGCGGTAACCGGCACATCCAGGGCGCCTGGGCGTCCTTCTATTTCTTCTTCGCTCTCTTACTCTTTTTCCATCTTCTTTCTCCTTCCCCTCCCTTCCCTTCCCCCTCTCTTTCTCTGTTTCTTTCTCACGCCGCTGGTCGACGTAGCCATACATCCAGGATCTATTTGTGCTAGGAAACATCTTCTAACATGACTAACGGCTTCTAGAATTCACGCGTTCGATGGCTAATGAAGCTTTTTGGTGCAATTGGTGCGACTTTTATAAAAATAACTCTAGTATATTATTTTCTTTCCTTTTTCACTTAAAAGTTATTTTGTTGAATAGTAATTATTGGATATATAAAATTCAAATAAAATTGTGTTAATTATATTTAATACTGTGGTTATTATTAGTTATTATATAAAATTATAATCATATAACATTATACAAAATAAATTGTATTAATTTTATGTATAGATATTTATTTTTCAAACACGTTTGTTCAAACATGTCTTTATGTCAACTTTGACTAGTAACAAATAAATACGTAATTGTCATACGTATTTGCGAATTAAAATTTTTATCGAGAAAAATATTCTAGGAATATTATTAATTAATTTTTGAGTTTCCGAGAAAATATGGATCCGTCATTGCACGCATTGGCATCTTTGGATGCAAATTGTTAGAATTGTTACTAAAAAGTTTTAAATTACATAGAGCCTAAAGTACACAAGACAGCTCTAAATTTTTAGAATGTGTAGGTACGGCTAAATGCATGGGGTTACTAGAGGATGTAGATTAATTCTAAAATTCATATACAAAATATCCTGTTTTAATTTTTCCACGCGATTTCCTTCCGAATCTAGGGATTATAAAAAAAAGAAAGAAAAAAGAAGAAAAAGACAACTTACTCTGTTCACGGAGGAAACCATCTAATGAGCATTACTCTGTTTCAGGTGAAGACGCCTGGGAGATTTTTTACATTTCCATTTATTTTAGATAAAAATCCATATTTTTTATTGTACAATTTTTTTTCTATTCACGAATTCAAACAACTTTTGTTTGAAACATGTTAAATAGTATTTATATTAGAATGCAATTCCAATTAGGGGGAAAAAGTGAAAAAAGTGTTTTTTTTTCTTGTATAAAATATAAATATAAAGAGCCGTTAAGAGCTATGCCTATTTTGGTCGACTCTCATTCGCATCTAATTCGCAGTTTTCTTAGTCACCGTGTGTATGTGTAAATACAAGTTTAAGTATATGTATGAGCGCAGTGAACTCAAGTCCGTGGGTTTGTTAAAATAACTGCGCGGTTCAATCATTCTTGCGGTGTAAGTTAAAATATCCTTCGAGTTTTACAAGTGGCCTCATCTGGAAGGGTTTTCGTCATTCGTCGAATTCACGTGAAATTTCACTTTTTACGCGTTTCCGTTCCTAGGGAAAAATTACATGATTGATGCCCCGACTAGAAAATCCTCCGAACAAAATGAATTTCATGTAAAACATTTTTTGAGAGAACTAGATTTAGATAAATCGGAAAGATTAAAATGGGACGTCTTGTATAAGAATCCACAGAAACATTTGAATTTTAATCCTATAGACTCTACAAACGTATTTCTTAAACTCTTTAAATTCTAGAAGCCGTATATCCTAAAAGTCCTCATAGATTTCGGGTGCAACACTTCTCAGGATCCTTATATTTTAGGATTCGTAAGGCAGGACTTATGGAGCACAAAATCCCCGAGTCCATAGATCCTAAGATATATTTCAGGTACACGTATTTCTAAGGATTCTTATATCCTGAGATCTACCTTAAGGACTCGTAAAACAATGAATTCGCGAATTGTCAAATTACAAAATTTAGAATTCATATTTTGCGGAATCTCTAGATCCTACGATCCATCGATCTTAATGTAGGTTTTTCAGGATTCTTAGATCGTAGGATGCATAGATCCTAATCGAGCATCCATAGCCAATTAGCGTCCGCTTGTGCGCGGAAAATATTCTGGGAAGGAGGCTCGCTTGAGAGAAGCGATTCTCCTTTTCATTTTTTATATGTAATTAATAAAGAGCTACTTTTGCATTGCTGCAGAAGCGCGCACATCTACGCGCGTTTCTCAGGTTCGACCGGCTGTTGCACAATTGTTATTATGGTTTTGTTACTAGCTATATCTTTTGCAATTGAATATTGATATTATTTAATAATAATTTATAAGACCAGATATGTGTAAATAATAATTTCTTATTGTAAATATCCTGCACAACCTACCCCACACACATGCATATACAATCTTCAAATTCGAATCTAACATCAGAATCTTAAAATTCAAGAGACCATTATTTTCATAAAACCCCAAATAAAATTTATTTATCGTACTCTAAAATTAAAAAATTCACATGTAATTGGATCAACAATTATTTCTAAATTGAAATATATTGTAGATTTTTATTTTTTATTGAATTACAAAATTCAGTAATTTTTATTTTCAAATTAAAGATTCCTAATACTAAAAGTTTTTCATACAAAATCTACTGTTTGGATTTCTAATTGCCAAATACTTATAGCTCATTGTTTGTAAATTTAAAACGTCGACTTCGAATTTGAATTTAGCATTTAAAAAACTCCACGGATATATAATGATTTTTTTAATAATAATAAAAATTACCTTTAATAGAGAGGGAGAAGGAGGGAGGGAGCGAGCGCGAGAGAGAGAGAGAGAGAGAGAGAGAGAGTGTGTGTGTGCGTGTGCGCGCGCGCGTGTATGTAAAGTGTTTTTATTTTTTACTACTTAAAGTGTTAAATGATATTAACACGTGATACGTAGATCCACATTTGCCTTAAAAGGAAAATGTCTTAGAGTCATCGTACAATTAATCAAATTAGCACTTTGGAAATGCAAGTCTTGACCTAAATAACGCGTACAGGAATGTGCTGAGAAATGTGCTCTGTGCTATTGTTTGGAATGAAGCCGGAAAAATTAAGAATACGATCGAACAACTTGCCTTTATTACAAATTCGAATCATCAAAAAATTTCATTATTTTATACTATTTTTACTTTTTCGTATACTTTATTGGTGAATTAAGCGTAAAGTAGTTTGCATATTGATAAAGTAAATTCTTATTGTTAGAAAATATAAAAATATTTGTACCGTGTAACTTAAATTACGTTAAAACGTTTTTCAAAGATGCACCAAATGTATTGTTAATTGTGAAAATACAAATCAATATTGCGACGATATTAGAATATTTATGACTAATAACTTGTTAAAATTATTTTTTATTATTAATTATTGTTCATTATTATTATTCTGAGTTTTCGGTTCTCTGAAGTTGATTCGCAAAATGAAATTACTACTATTAGTAATATCACACTCGCCGTAATATCTGTAATTTGCATTTTTTTACACGCTGATAATTATTTACTATTACGCCATTGCTTCTTATGTGATCCTTGATCATCATCCAGTATCTTGCAGTTCTTTTTATCAAGTGTACATGCAATCAATCTCACGTGCGTAATCTTAAGTCGAATAACGAACGCACAAGCTCAATCTTCTCTTGCCGATCTTATTTTAAAATATTATGATTTGTGCAAATTATGCTTCACAGAACGTGTTGATTTTCCTTTTCATTAACAAAACATGCGATCTTTTGTATACGTGAAATCTCGATAAAATAAATTTATTCGCTGATTAATTCTAATATGATTAAAAAACTAATAACTGAATATGATTCTAATATAATTAAAACTAATAACTAAATTTCAATAAGTTTTTGTATTTTTAATTGGTTCGTCAAAGATAGATCTCGTAAAAAACTTATTTCAAATATAACAAACAACAAACCGGTTACAGCAAACAGCAAAATATAATGCAAATGAACAGTAGACCGGATTAGATTGATCGTCGAATTCCGTTCGTCATTATCACGTGTAAACGAACAGAAAAAAAATGGAATATTATATAACAAATAAGTGACAGGTTTCATAATTATTAATTGCACAGTACTTTGTACTTAACTTTTTTAACATGCGCGTTCCATGATTATTACAACCGAAGAATTTTTACTTGTTAATTTAATATTTAAATTTTTTAAATTATTTCGTAAATATAATTAAATACATTTAAGTATAAATGATATAATAAATATATATTCTACAAGTCTTCTTCCAAGTTTGGTCTAACTTGCAAATAAATATGTAAAGTCTCTTTCAACGAGTTTGGTTTCACTTGCAACAACCAATTTAACATTATACGATTTACAATACTTGCAACTTTGTTGACACTCGCAACATGCTGTAAACTCGTACATGATTCGTGCGTATGCGATCGTATGATTTTCCACCGATCACGCGATTTTCATGCTGTCTAGATATCAGCAAATGACCGGTGTATCCAATCGTCAAGTGTTACGTATGCAAATTTTTTTTATTCCTACGAGAAGAAATCACAGAACAAATTATCTCGCGTCATCAATTATACTTATCGCTCACAATTAGTACGTTTTTATTTTTAAAGATAATTTTGCATTATATTTGTATTGTATCACAAAGCAGGTTGGCAAATTTATATAAAAATAAATTCAACTTTAATTAAAATATTTTACATTATACTATATATTAATATTTGTTTCCATATTTATATGTGCTTTATACATCTATTCCCAGCAAAAATTAAAAAAAAATGTTACATAAATGTCCATTAAAAGGTATATCAAATATTACATTATCTATATATATATATGTGTGTGTGTATATACCCACACATGTGCGCGCGCGTGTGTGTGTGGTAAGTAGTTTATGCGTAAAGAAATGCCCAGCCCTGCACTAGATATTTTAAACTTTTAAGAAATTTATTCTATTTAATTATTTTTATTAAAAATTAGATAAATTACCTTCTTATCACGTCCCCAATCTTCTGAAATATATATCAACAGATCTGTTAAGCCCTCGAATTCTGTCCTACTTTGGGATGGATTATTTTTAGGTATTTTTGGTAACAAGGAACCCATCTTAAATTTGAATTCCTCTGCAGTAGTGGCTCCAGAAACCTTCCAGATTGCATAGAAAAATAGGCCACATCCTGTGACAGCATAAAACGAGCCCCAGCCAAGGGCTCGTATTGCCAATGAGGCGCCAGTTTCGTTGACTCCTTTGGCACCAGAGATACCTTTTCCAAAATACTTTGGATCCTGTTTTCTGGCCACTGACACTGCTCTGGCAAAACCAGCAAGGGCAGAGATACTTGTGACAGCGCTTAGAAATAGTGCAGCTATAATAAACATATAAATATTAATATGAGAGAAAATATAAAAAAACAAGTAAAATATATCTATTAAAACATTAGTTTCACAGTCATAAAAGGCATCATTCACAATCATAGCTTGCCATCATCTTCAAGTAATTTCTTGAAGAACTACACCATCTATTATGTTAAATACAAAGTAATACACTTTGCAATGCAACTTTATTGAACTTAAATTAAGGTTAAGAATATATTAGTTATATAATTTTAACTAAAAGTTATTTAACGTTTTTATTGGAAAAAATATTTGTCATTAGTATTTTTTTTTCAATTGAAGAAAAAGAGACAAGAGATATTTGTCAATAGATAAATACTGTCCAAAATTACATCTACAAGAAACAAAATAACAATTGTCAAATCAGATACCAGAATGAGTTGCACAATACAATGACCATGTTTAGCAGCAGTTTTATTTAAATAAATAACATTTAAACCGGTCAGTGAATCCGAACAAATTATTGCACAAATATTCATTCAAAGTTTTGCTAGCACATAAAATTGATTTTGTCATGAAAATTGTGGCTTGAATAATGTTCATTTTCTGTTTTTTCTTTAACAAATTTGTCATTCAATGCCGCAATATATTTTTCAAAAAAAAAAAACTAATGTTTAAACAAAAAAATTAAACAACTTTCAACTGAATGAAAGAATTATGCTTATATTTTGCACAGATATTCAGAATAAATAATAAAACAATCTATGAAATTTTTATAATTTGCCACTGTTTTTGCAGGTGATTTGTGCAATTTTAAACGTAAAGTACAATACAGTTTTGCCAAGTTTAAATTAAGGTTAGGCCAAGTATCTGCTAAATAATTCAGTTTCTCGTGTGTTTGTTGTCGAGTGATGGAAAACGCATTGCTACTCTAACGAAAAGTGGGGTTAGTTCGCAGTGTAGAACACATGACACGGCGTACGCGAGTGATTATTCTTCGATGTGACTCTTGAATTAAACTCACCGTAAATTTTCTCACTTCGTTTCGTAAACCTTGCAGATTTCGCAGTAATGGACGTTTGCACAACATTATTTGATTCCGCCATCTCGTCCGTTTCTAAATAGCCGATTGTATCTGCCATTTTTAAAGTGCTCAGACACATTCGTTACATGACATGCGAGTAACCATGTATTAATAACTACATCAAAAGATAGTCATAGGCAGGGTTGCAAAACTTTTTCGGCATTTTGTCAGGTAAGAAAAGGCTTGCGGAAAAGCCTTTGAAACAAATCGAATCCGAGCTTTGTGAATTCTCAACGCGGATTCGCCTAGTGAAAAATGGAAGGTATGGACATTCTGTTGTATTTTACTTCATCACTTTTCGTGCAATCTTCTGTTTCGGAAAATGTGCTCTACAGAGTCTTTTTTTTTTATCCCAATGTATGTTGCAGATGAAGCAACGCACAATATCGACAAACTCATTGATGATTTAAAACATGCTGTAAAACTTGAGGCCTCGCAGGATGAGTGTCCTAATATTGTTCAGATATTGAATTCTGTGGTGAATGTTAGCAAAACTTCAATTGAAGGTACAATGCATGTATTGAGTTATTGGATTTTATTAAGTATATCTAAAAGTACATACAAATTAAATTCAATAATCATTAAGAATCATCGATTATTGATCATATATTAAAATATTGGCATATTGTATTATGATTGTAAAAGTTTTATAAATGATTTTATTTATTTTGAATATTTATGCAAAATTAAAATATACAATTCCTATGTAAAATTGTTATTCAGGTAATGATGTACCTACTCTTTCAGAGACCAATAAGCTAGTTATTGATCAAGTTTTTTTGGTGCTATTTGGACACAAGTCTAAACAGATTATAGCAAAAACAGCAAAGGCTATCGCAGAAATTGCAAAGACTGAGAAGGGAAGAGAGAAATGCACCAATGTAAGATTGATACAGACATTGATTAACTTGCTGAAGGAAGAGGATATACACATATTGACACAAACTTCTAGAGCTCTAGGAAACATCTGTTATGAGAATGGTTGTTACAACAGTCACGTCTATTTTTTCATCATAAGTCTTTGTTTTTCTGTCAAGGCAAAGTAGTTTTCCATAGTTTTTTATGTGCAAGGGAGACTGTTTTGCTAAATGAGAGTAACATCAGTTCTACTCAACATTATTCAGAAAATTTTACATCAAGGTTATCTCACATGTGACACGTATCTTTCCTTTTTATATTTATTTTCTATTTATTTGTTTGAAAAAATAAAATCAGTACTAGAGTAAAAAAAATTTTTTTTTGAATAATGTACGTGTAGTCAATATTGTTATTTTTAGCATATTTTTTTGTAGTTTGTTTCTCCAAATCCTGATATGATACGCAGTCGGATTCAAATTCAACATAAAAAAACTAGGGAAAAAAAGTTTGATTTGGCAGGCCACTGTCATTTATTGTGTCTACATGAAAATCATAAACTTTTCTCTTTACGTTATAATTCTGTTAAACAACTGTTGATGATGATTGAATCACTATCAAATGATATCAAACACGGATATTTATATGACTTTTGTAAATGGAAATGCTCTTGTTGTCAAAGAAGGCTAATGAAAAACATATATATATATATATATATATATTTTGTAGAGAGTGGCAAGAAACTTGTCAGAGAGCAAGATGGTTTAAAAGTAATTCTAATAGTGCTGAAGAAAGCTGTTGCATTAAAAAATGCTGAGGGTGCCAGCTTTCTGCGAAATGTGGTCGCTGGATTTTTATTAAATTTTTTGGTGGACCAGGAAGCGTTGCACAAGAAGGTGAAAAATAAATTTTTCCTTTTGAGAGCGCATCGCGATTCATTGATGATGATCTGACGATGTTGACTCTCGGCGATTGTAAAAAGCGATGGTAGATGACAATTTTAATTGTTAGATACACTTTATCAGGCACTAGAGGAGGACACAGTACCGATTATTTGCAGCGTGCTGGAAGAAGACGGGACTAGCGGCGGCGAAGCGGCAATGCACGCGTTATTCATCCTCGGCATATTGAATGACGCAAACATTGTGTTTCTTGATGAGAGATTAACAAAAGTTTTAATTAACATACTGATTAGTGACACTTCTTCTGAATTATCCGAGATGTGCTTGGAACTTTTACATGGTCAAGCGGAGGATGGCAAGTTAATCATAATTTGATTGATATACGATTAAAATCGGATTGTCTAAATCATTTAACGAGTACAGGTTAATAATGTAGTAATGTAATGAATCACATTGGTTAAAACCGTAAAAATTTCACACATTGTTCTATTATTTATTCTGGGATATCGATGCAAACACTTGGATGGAAGTCTCTGATTAATTTAAGAGTCATTTAATTTAATTATTATGTTTGCAATGGAAGTTCTTATGGAAGATGATGTAGACGCAACGTTTGTTGAAAAATTTGCCAAAGGAGCATTGCCAATTAGGTCAAATTTTCTTTGTACAATAACTCTAATGAATACACGTGCGAAACTTTATTTGTATTCACTGATTGTTTGAAAAGCCATTCATTTAAAATTGCAGCAAAATATGATCCTTACGCTATGCCATTTCTGGCATTATTACTATGTTGGCATTATTATTTTATTTCTCGAAATTAATTTCGAGATTAATTTCAAGAAATATTTATATCTAAAAGTTTTCTTTTACAATTGATTAATTCGAAAGCAAAATATTAGTTGGAAATATATTTTTTCCCAGTATATATATATAGAAACATGTACATAATATACATCGATAGACTCGTGTTAATTTTTTATTATAATATTATAACTACCTGCATAAACCAGCTCTGTTTGATTAATTTTAGTACGAAATAAGAAATATATTATTTTTAAATTTCAACGATTTTTTAGCTAATACTTTGTATAGCTGATATATCCTTAAATTGAAAAAAAAAAACTTTAATGTGCAATTAGGTTTAATTAAACTAATGAAAGTGAATTTATAAAAAATTCAAATGAATTAATAACTTTAATAACATAATTCAACTTTTAGAAGAATCAAAGCTGTTGTTAGCCAAGGCAGGAGTATGCGAATTACTCGTAAAACTGTTGGAAAAGCACGGGCCACAGTGCATCGACGAAGAAACACGGTCAATTCTAAAAGTTGCCTGCAATCTAATTGTTCTGATTTTAACTGGAGGTGAATCCTAAAATCTCAAATTTAATCGGTTCAAATCTTATAGATTCTAACGTATTTCTATCTGCTTAGATGACAGTATGAACTTCCTTTACGATAACAGCCAGGGTCCTGTTTACAAAAAGTTGGTTGAATGGCTGGAGAGCATTGACGAAGACTTACAGATTACCGCCGTTTTAGCGATGGGTAACTTTGCGCGGACCGATACACATTGCAAACGTATGGTCGAACAAGGCATTCATAGGAAGCTGTTGAAACTCCTCCAAAGAAACAGCAGCAAATCTGGTGACATCAGATGCCAGCATGCTTTACTCAGTGCGTTACGCAATCTCGTCATACCTGTGGATAACAAATCGCTGATACTCGCTGACGGTCTGATCGATGTGCTCTACCCGATGCTGGACATTCCCACTTTTCCTGTTGTTTTCAAATTGCTGGGAACGCTTAGAATAGTCATAGATGGCCAAAGTAAGCTTCTTTTAATTCTTCAACTCTTAGGAAGTAAAAAGTGCTTCATTACCATAAAAAAAAAATAATAATTTGTATAAAAAAGAGAAAGAATGAAACTTATATTGCGCGGAATTTTTAGGATGCTGCTTATTAACTTTTGTGTTGTGTGCCTATTCTAGGGGAAGCGGCAGTCTCTTTAGGACGACGAGAGGACTTGATCAAACGAGCAGTTGAATGGTGTGGTATCGAGGACCATCCCGGCGTCCAAGGCGAAGCAAATCGATTAATTGCTTGGCTAATAAGCAACAGCAGGTTTGTCTTGACCAACTTGTGACGCAATTCCCAAACTTGATAGATATTTTTTTTTAGGGACAGGCAGATTGCCTTATCGGTCATCAAATACGGTGCGGTACAGCATCTGGTAAACATGCTTCTAGCACAGCATGCATTAATGCAAAACGAGGCGATTTTGGGTCTGACGATATTAACGAGAATTTGTCCGACGGAATCCGAAGAGTTATTGATCGAGGCGGATTTCGGACGCACCATGTGCGAATTCTTCGAAGCGCGCGCTGATAATCTCGAAATACACATCGTACTCAATGCGCTGTCTCTATTGGATAGTGTCGTGCAGTCAGGTAATTCTCTCGAGAATTCATTCTGGAATGAAAAAGACGGACGAAGATTACGTTAAAATCACTCGACATTTTATTTCATAATATTTATTTCACAACTTTATAATATTATAAAAAAAGTTAAGCGTTGAGTGATTCCAACGTGATTTTGTTACTTTTCAACTTAATCATTTTATAAAGTAACAAAATATCTGTACACAATAATAAATTTTATATTTCTTTGACAACATTATACGCCGTTTATTTTAGAGCGGCTGAAAGAGCATCTGAAAAATCGCAGATTGGCGAGCGCGTGCAAAACCTTGCGGTCACATCAAAGTGAAAATAGCATGGAACTACGAACACGCGTCACTACACTGCGAGCGGCGTTGTGCACCGCTCTGGGAACAAGCTTCGATTAAGAATAATTTTAAAAGTTTGGCGTTTACATGTGCTGCCATTCTCATCGTTGTATCTTCCATCATTCCAAAGAGCTGTGCAAATTTCTTTAATGACCAAATCATCGTCAACTTGATCCACAAACTGCAAAATGTATTTTATTTATGGAAAAATATATACTCTATTGATGTACATGCCATTGCCATTAATTTCCCCATCACTAACAATAAGATAAAAACATTTTGTGAATTGAATAAAAGTAAAAAGAAAAAATATTTATTCTATATATCCAGGTATTTATCATCCATAGCTAAAGGACACCCCATTTTTTTTCATATTGCTTCATCATGTTGATCAATTCAAAACACATAGTTTTTAAAGAAAAACACATTTAAAGTTTTAAATAAAAGTATCAAATAAAGTGTATCGAGATATCATTTATCTGCACATCAAAACCCATAAAGGCTGTAGCTTATTTTTTGTACCTCAAAAAACTTGTTAAAAAAGAGCTCATTTTTGTAACTTTAAATATTTAAAAAATATAAATATATATTTTTCAAAGACCTACATAAGAATACCCCCTTAGAAATATGCCCAATCACTTACCCATGTGCATCTTTAGGTGTAAATGACACGCCAAAGTCTCGTAATTACGGTAGTAAATTTCTATGCCATGAACAAAGATTCTGCCGGCATGTTTCATTCTGATAAATCCGCCACACCGAATAGTAATCTTGCCGCTTGTAACACCCTTTCAATGGCGCCAGGATCGTAGAATCTCAAAATATTATTATCTATTATTATTATTATTATTATTATTATTATTATTATTATTATTATTATTATTATTATTATTATTATTATTATTATTATCATCATCATTATCATTATCATTATCATTATCATTATCATTATCATTATTATTATTGTTGTTCTTATTATTATATTATTATTATTGTTATTATTATTGTTATTACAATAGCACGCGCGCGCGCGCACAAAACAAAATTTATGTGTTACTTTTGAATGTAGTTTGTGTATAAATGATACTAATATTGTCTAAATAATATTTAAAATTCTACTCTTTAATTGGGGTAATAGATAATAAAACAAGTTTTACATCTTATTACTAGTCTATTACTTTCGGTATATTTTTATTGCATCGAATAACACGGAAGGACATTTTGTAGCTTACATATACTCAACAATCATTCGAAAGTTGTTGATGAATAGTATTCTGCCATTTAATCCGGTACATCTGCAATGGAATATTATTCTTAATATTAACTTTATACCTTGTCATCAAGAAATAAACAATTCGTTAAAAAAATATAAGGCTCACATGTTAAAACTTTGGCAAAACTAAATTTTATATAGATTTAGTTTTATATAGATTATTTTGTTATTTGTTCCGCGAAACCTATGCGACACTTAGAGAGATATAATTCTCTGATTACTTTAAAAGTTATTTAATTTTTATGTTTACATTGGTTCTCATGGAAAATCGTGTACTGCAATACCCAATAATCAATTTGACAAAGAACAAACATTTTTTTTTTTTTAAGTTATTCACCCAAAACTAGAACAAAATATAATCATCGCACTATGCATCGCACTATGCATCGCACTATCATTTTGGTAAGACCTACGATTTGGCAATTGTTTATTATTTCATTTTTCGCTGTTAATTTGAGAAAGCATTATATCCAACAAGCATTCGCAATATCGATATCTTAAATACAAAACCCTGTACCTCGCATTTTTTACCAATTTCACTTTTTCTGTTATTATGATAGTATTTTTATTTTTTATGTACCAAATTTTGTTGAAACAATCCCAAAAACTTATTTATTAACAACAGAAAGTCATTTTAAATTCAAAGTTTGACAAATTAATTGGAATATGTTATAAATAAACAGTTTCTAATGTCTCCTGTAAAATTTGTACTTTTTTAGTCACGAGGTTTTGGATTTAATGTATCAATATCCAAAAATTTCCTCTCCGTCTTTATCATTGATTAATAAAAAAAAAAAAAATTACAAATACTTTCTTCGATAAAAATGTTGAAACCCATGTTAATTTGCAATATTGCAATTTTTTGTACGATTCAAATGTGCTACGAACAATTTTTAACTAATTAACTTATATAAGTCCAATACATCCAATACATAAATAAATTCGAGTAAGATAATAGATGATAAGAAAGGAGACAAATCTATCGACAAACATTGTGCTTACCTTCTTCTTCAGAGTCTGATATTCGAGTGGCCTGAAGCGAACTTTGCTTCGTCAATGTCCGAGCTAGGCCACGTGGTCTCGGCGGTGGCGATTGCTTGTTCCACAGTGCCTCTAGTTGATCGAAATGTTGAGATTGTGCTAAAGCAGCCTGTTCAGGTCCGAGACCAGGTTGTGAGCCGGCTAAACCAGCCTTGCTGATCTCTTCCATTGATGCGCTTACGCTAAAACGACGCTTTAATCGTTCCTCGATACTCGAGACCGTGATACCTGAGAATAAATGAGAAAAATCAAGTTAAATTCCAATTTTTATCATCAGTGATCCAAGTGAGAAGAAACTAATGAAAACATATTTCCTCAAGATTTTATATATCCTTAATATTTCTTATTGTACAAGAGGCATATGCTAAAAAATTTGAAAAAGAACTTTGTTTCACACCAGCAGTGGCATATCGTACAACTCTCATCATATCATACTGCTCTCACTCGGATCACTGAATCGAACGATTGCCAAATGATATTAGAAATGTATGAAAATGATCGATAACCTGATGTTAGATGTCCATATTTTCGCTGCCAAGTATAAGTATCTAAGGACACTTCTTTCTTCAGCAATCTCTTGGCGGGTCGTTTCGGTCCCGGAGGTCTTAGGTCCCGCGGCGCCACGTACGGCGGCAGTTTGACGTATTGTGCGGGTGTGTTGTGCAGACATAGAATAGGCATGCATTTGTGTTCCAGCAAATGCACCGCCATTCTAGAGCAATCGGTGGATATTTCAACTCCCAGGACCGGTACGTGCAACATGATGGAATTGAGCGGTGTGCCCTTCTTAGTGTCCCAGACGATGAGACTCTTGTCCTCGCTTCCGGAAGCGGCCAGAGTGCCGTCGCCGGAGAGGCGCACGCAAGTCACGTAACCTAGATGGCCCACGAGAGTGTGCAAGTCGGCGCCGGTATTGATGTCCCAGACGATCAGATTGGCGTCTCGGGAGCCAGATACCACTATAGATTTGTCGACCACCGCAACCGCCACGCAGGTCACGTGATCAGTATGACCGACCAATACTTGGGAGAGTTTACCACCAGCTAGCAACCACACCTTCAGACTCATATCCCGGGAACCGGTGATCAGGTACTGAGAATCGGGCGTCACTACCAGGCATGTGATATCCTGCGAGTGCGATACTTGATGCTTCTCCTCAGGACCGGCGCCCAGACTGATTATGCGCACCTGGGTATCACCAGACCCACACACCGCGTATCTAGAATGATGGATTGGTTGAGTCGACATAACAACAGTTGGTACGTCTCGAAGTAACGATCAAAGTTTAAAGATGTTCATGTATGTACAGGATGACATTTTATATTTTCTCAAATGTTTGTGTGTGTGTGTGTAGGGGGGGGGGGGTATACTAGATATTAACTAAACTTGAAGCGCTACTGCGACAGCGGTATTTCTGGCATTGAATCGAGTCCAAGTATCTTTTACTATTTTTTCTTCAAACAGTTATCGACAAACAGTTATCGAGATATGAATTAAAGATTGAAAAATTTACCACGTCTTTTTTAACAATTCGAAAAATATTGGCAAAATAAAAAATACCTCCAACAAACGTTGCTTGAATTAATAAATAGAAAAAAATGATATAAAAAAATTATTTAATCTTTGAAAACTTAAATATATTAAAAAATAAATATTACCCCACACAACAACATCTTTTCCTTTCTTTTCAAACCCTACAACTTTTGTTAACATTTTCTCGATATGCAGATATCTGTTAGTCTTCAAAATATGTCGTTAGAAGAATTAGTGAGTTAAAATTAGTGTCGATAGAAAGATGAATTTCTAAATAAAGCAGTAAGATAAAGAGAACAGAAAAACTCACACGATCTATTACGAATCTTCTTCTGTCATACCTCATGTCGGATGTAACAGCGAAGCATCGTCCAGGTCCGCAAACAGACTGGATCAGTGTACCACTGTCCGCTGCCCAGACCCTGATAGAACCAGCTCGATCCGAACTAACTACTCTTCTACCATCCAGCATAGCGGTAACGGCAGTTATCGGTGCCTGGTGTCGAAACGTAGCCACGATGAGCCCCAGAGTCAAACCCCACACGCGGACAGTTTTATCCTCGGATCCTAAAGAATTTATACACATTTTTATACCTCCACCTCGAATACGATTTAATAGCGAATTAGATTTAGAAAAATTGGACAAACAGTTGGGCTTAAGCAAAAAAGTTGTCGTTAGCTACCGGATGCGACGAAAAGGCCTGATGCGGAGAATGCGATGCACGTGATACTGGCGATATGCCCCTCCAAGGAAGACAACAGTTCATGAGTGTTAAGCTGCCACAAATTAACTAAAGAATCGACACCGCCGGTGACTGCCATGGCGCCGTCCCTGGAAATGTCCAGGCAGGAAATTGGTGCAGTATGGGGTTGCAGAGAATCTTGCTTCCCGGATTTCTGCGGCTTCGGTGGTGGTTCCTCGCCGCGGAAGCTCCAGTAAGTCACACGGCCACCTCCGCCGGTTATCAAAAAATCATCTTTCTCGGTTACCTGGGGATAAAAAAATGATATTTCTCGCGAAATACAAGTAACAATTTTACAATAGTATTTTTACAAAACATACAAAGAAAATATAAAATTCGTATTCTGAAATTTTAATTTGTATATATATCGCATTTAATTGAAGTGTGAACAACTATTTTTCAATTTAATAATATTTTATCTCAAATTTTTTTATTTTTTATTCTTGAATTATAAAATTTCTATTTCAATTTTCAAATTAAAGATTCCTGACTCTCTGCAAAAATTGTTTCATATAAAATCTATTTGTTCTATCGTTCGCGAATTTGCCAAACATTGAGCTGACGATTCGCAAAGAAAAATTTCAATTACAGTTTTGAGTTTAGCGTGTCAAAAAATCGCAAATATACAATCTTTTCGTATATTTAATTGTTTCAACTTTTGAAACGTTTTTGAAAAATGATCTTTGTAAGCTAACAAAGCGTTTTCAATTTCTCAACAGCTAAACGATAAAACAGAGATATAGGAGAAAAACATATTGGGAGACTATGAAAGGAGAAAAGTTGCATTTTGCGTTTAATCACCTTAACTGAAGTAACGCTTGCTGACGGATTAGCGGGCAAATTCTTGATTAACCTTCCGCTATGCATATCAAATACAGATACCCTGCCTTCGGTGCCGCCGGCGATGGCTCTTCTACAGTCCTTCGCCAGGCAGAGACTCTTGATTGGTCCTTGATGTCCCCTGAGCGTATGAATTTCCGTGCCCGTCGCCAAAGATCGCAGATAGAGCTTTTGATCTTCACAAGCGACTAAAAGGAAAACCGAATCCGCAGACACATCTAACATGGCCACCGGAGAAGGAAGAGCGATGCTGTTGAGAAAGCTGAAGCTCTCCAGAGACCAAAGACACACAGTGCCGTCGGCCGATCCCGAAACCAAAACTTCACCAGCCGAATCAACGCGAATAGTGGTGACGGGGCCTCGATGATGATCCACTTTCATCAGAACCTCGCCGGTGAGCAGGCTGGTGGCGATAATTCTGGAATCTTCACCACCGCTCACAATGATGGAATTGTTGAGTGCCATAGTTAAAGTGAGAACTGGTGCGATATGCTCGCAAATTCGGCGTTTTATGACGAGATCCTTCATGTCCCAGACGATGATGGACGTGTCTTCGGAACCTGTCAGCAAGTACTGCGACTGATGAGTGACGGCTAAGCACGATATCGGACTGGAATGTCCTGGAATAAGAGAAAAAAAGGATGTCAACGCGCTTGTAAAGAAAGATATCGCAAATGATTCGTGTCAAACTACCTTTGAAAGTATGAACAAGCTGACCGGACATGACGTGCCATAATTGAGCGTCTCCCTGCAATGGCACGACGACGACGTGTTGTCCGGACGGCGCAGCTTCGATCAACTTAACCCCCTGAGGACACGCTATTGCTCGAATCTGCAGTGGAAGAGGTGGTTGCAACCATCCGTTCAAGGGTACGAGCAAAGGTGCGGTATAACCATCGCACCAAGCCATAGCTGCCATCACCATTCTACTGACCTTGATAAAGCGATGGAATAATTCCCTATTTGCGAGTCTAACTCGTATTATACATGTATAGTTGATCGCAACATTCTTTGCGTAATCTTCCGATGAATTAGAAATAAAAAAACTCGACTGTTGGGAAAAAAAGAAAAAAGTACTCACGAGGTCACCACCATCCTCGGCAACCGGCCTTAACCAACAAATAAGTTGCGCAGCGAGTTGGAGCGGATTCCGCGTTAGAACGTCGCTGGACTTTCTGACGGCGTAATACACGAGTTCCAGGTCGCGCTCGAGAAGATATCGCCTTGTATGTTCGAGGACACATCGCAGGTAGCTCACGGAAACCATTTGGACGGCCGCGAGGAGAAAGTCGAACGCGCAGACAGCGAGTTTCTTCAGCTTGTCGACGTCGGAGGCACGTACAAGATGCAGCCACGCTTCCTCCACGTGTCGAAGTGTATACGTGACATCCTGAGTCCGTGGCGCGCTTTGGAACGGCGTTTCCTTGGTAGGCGGTGAAGCGGCTGGGTTCTCCAATGATTTCTCAGTACTGTCGTCGGTGTCCTCGGAGAAGAAAAGACCGGCCAATTCCGCGTGGCAACTGCGTGAAATGTCTTGATTGGAGAGATACTTTCTGAGAGCGACCTCGCGATATTGGCCACGCCAAGAAAACATTAATCGACCACTCATTACTCGTATCTGGAACAATATTTTGTTGAAAAAAAATATATTTATGCGATAATGCGAGAATATGCTGTATTCTACAGTATTTTCTTCTCAGTATCGCACTCCTGTTTTTAGAGGAGTATTCCCAGAACAAAATAAATTACTTTGACTTCTATTACATATTGTATATTGTTATTGTACTACTAGTGCTCTTGTTTTACGGAATGAATCGCTTACTTTAAGCCAAGACGCGAACGTTCTTCTGACCAAGCACCAAGTCGCAAAGTTAAATTGGCTTTCTTCCAAAACCAATGGGCCTTCTCCTCCGGTGGGCATAATCAATTCGAGTATTTCCGTTTCCGATAAACCGTACTCGGTGCAAGCGAGAATCGAAGCGATCCGGCTAGCTGCGGCGAACCCGATAAGGTCCTCCAGCTGCTCCAGAACCGAATCGACATGCGGTGTCGCGCACACCCGTCCGGAGAGATCGACGAGGATGTCGGCACTGCGCAGACGTTCCTTCTGCACCGGTGTGAGGCGCATTCCCTCGGGCGGAAGAGCGGAAGTGGCAACGAGGTGAACGCCTGCAGGAAGTGCGAGCGGCAACCAGGATAGAGCGGCGACGATGTCGCACTCGAGCGGGTGGAATCGGTGAAGGTCGTCGAGGAGGATGATCAATTGGTCCGGAAGCGGATGTTCCTCGATACGGCGCATAATCAGGGTAAACCAATTGTTGAGGTAGAGCGGATCGAAAGAAGCATCGCGCGGCAGATTGCCGTCGTTATCGCCGGCGAGGAAGCCGATGTGCTGGCAAAGGATGCGCAAGAGTTCTAGGCTATAGGCGGATCGTGGTGTCCAAGTGCATAATCGAACGATGCGAAGCGTCGGAGCCGCGAGCCAATCCGGCGCATCCTGGTAGACGCGCGCGAGAATAGAAGACTTGCCGGAGGATTTTGGTCCGTAGATTAGAATAGGCTCGTGTTTACGTTCCTTGCCTAAAAGTATGTATAATATAGCGCGCGCAACAATCTCGTAGATTTCGAAAATTCGAAAGTGAAAAAAGTTGATATCCCAATCAGTTGATTCTAGACCATCTGCTTTAAACTACGATATACTATATGTGTCGAAGCAAAAGTTTCTTCAAGTTTTGCTTGCAAAAAAAAAGAATTTATGAGAAAGCACGGTTCGAAGACTGCTACGTAAAAAATACACATTTGGCAAAAGTGAGAGCTTCCTCACATTGTCTCAACACAAGAGGGGCGCGAGTCAAACTATCAAACAAATGGGTAATTAAATAATAAAATTTATCCTGAGATATAAAAAGAGATATTTACATTCTTGAGATAAAAAGTGAGATTCTTGCATTCTTCAGCAGAGAGAGAGAGAGAGAGAGAGAGAGAGAGAGAGAGAGAGAGAGAGAGAGAGAGAGAGAGAGAG